CAGCCCAGTTTGGAGTGTGTGGGAGAGCGTCGCTGTGTATATTTAGGACTACCCTGGCATTGTACTAGGAAGGAGTGAGGATTCATTCTCGCTCTCTCATCCTGCCCCAGCGCAGCCGCTGAGCTCATTTCCTGCGTTCCTGTTCCTGGGGCTGGGGCAGGCACCCCCCATCAGTGCTGCTGGTGTGAAGGGTCCTGCCCAGCTGACATGGGGGCTCCCTCTGGGACCGTAGATTTCCCTGCACTGTGTGCTGCCTTTTGTCTTTGAAAAGTGATGTGTGTGTGATCTTAAATACCTCTGTTTGGCGAGCTGCAAAATCTGCATATTAGAATGTATATATTTTGCATATTAGAATATGTATATGTAATATAATACCAGGAGTTGACTTAATAAAAGTTTGTATGTTTATGAATGTATTTTCTTTGTCAAAACTAAAGTTTTTACTCGAAAATTAGTTTAAAAAAAAGGAAAAAATTCAGAAAAACCAGTGAGTAAAATTATTAATTATTAATTTCTACCAAAGTAAAATTAGGATCAGGTGTAGTGGTTCATGCCTGTAATTCCAACACTTTGGGAGGGTAAGGTGGGGAGATCACTATGTAGCCCAGGAGTTTGAAACCAGCCTGGGCAACATAGCAAGACCCTGTGTCTACAATAAATTAAATATTAACCACTGCTGGGCATGGTGGCTCATTCCTGAATCCCAGCACTTTGGGAGGCCAAGGCAGGTGGATCACCTGAGGTGAGGAGTTCGAGACCAGCCTGACCAAGAAGGTGAAACCCATCTCTATAAAAATATAAAAATTAGCCAGGCATGGTAGCAGGCCCCTGTAATCCCAGCTACTCGGGAGGCTGAGACAAGAGAATTGCTTGAACCCAGGAGGCAGAGGTTGCAGTGAGCCAAGATTACGCCACTGCACTCCAGCCTGGGTGATGGAGTAAGACTCCATCTCAAAAAACAAAACCAAAAAAAGCCATGTGATAATGTTCACCCGTAGCCTCAGCTGCAAGGGAGACTGAGGTGGGAGAATCATTTGAGCCCAGGAGATCAAGGCTGCAGTGAGTGAGCTGTGATGGCGCCACTGCACTCCAGCCTGGGGAACCCTGCCTCAAAATAAAAGGAAAAAAAATAGCTATGTCTGTGGGCTGCTGCTTTTTTCCTGGTGTGGAAATGAACAGTTCTTAAGAGAACGAATGTGGACTGGTGTGGGATCCTGAGGGGGGTGGGTGAGCCCATTCCAAAGAGACACCCCCCTCTGACTGGGTAGAGCCACAGATGCAGCAGGCACCAGTAGTGTTCCTTTCAAGGAATCAGCTGTGTTCTGCAATTGCTTATTGAAGCTTGGGGCATTTATTTTGTCACCCTAGAATTTAATTTATGGTTTATTGTTAGCACTGAAGCCAGTGAAAATGACCTTGTCTACAGCCTCTGTGATCTCTGGGCGATACCTTGCCCCCAACAGCTGGATCAGTTGACAAGTGTGATGTGAGCACCCATGGAGAGTGGGCCAGCTTTCCCTCTATGCCAAGATGAGTGGTGTTTTTGTTTGTTTTGTTTTGTTTTTTTGGGAATGGAGTCTCGCTCAGTCACCCAGGCTGGAGTGCAGTGGCGCGATCTCGGCTCACTGCAAGCTCCGCCTCCTAAGTTCACGCCATTCTCCTGCCTCAGCCTCCAGAGTAGCTGGGACTACAGGTACCCGCCACTACGCCTGGCTAATTTTTTTGTATTTTTAGTAGAGATGGGTTTTACCGTGTTAGCCAGGATGGTCTCGATGTCCTGACCTCGTGATCCGCCTGTCTCGGCCTCCCAAAGTGCTGGGATCACAGGCTTGAGCCACCGCACCTGGCCTGTTTTGTTTTTTAAACAAAACACTTTGGTGAAAATGATTTCAAACATCTCCCAGCGTGGTGGCGTGCGCCTGTAGTCCCAGCTACTTGGGAGACTGAGGTGGGAGGATCCATTGAGCCCAGGAGGTTGAGGCTGCAGTGAGCTGTGATCGCACCGCTGGGCTCCCGCCTGCTGACAGAGCGAAACTCTGCCCCAAAAACAACAGCAACAAGAACTCTTCAGGGTTGTTTCTTCTGTCTCCGCCCCACCTCTCTCGTTCTCAAAAGGCTAATCAGACTCCTGTCCCCTGCCTCCCTCAAAACTACTGCTTTTGTCAAGGCCACCTATGGTCTTCACGTGGCAAAAGCCAGTAGGTCATTCCTCTTGTCATCCGCCTTCCAGGATGGAAGTCCTGGCTTTGTCTGCACCCTGCTGGCTTCTCTTCCCTGCAGCCCCCTCATGTCGAAGACCCCCAGAGTTCAGTGCTCGGCCCCTCCCCTGTCTCTGCTGATTTCCTGGTGATCTCATCCAATACCAGCTGTACACTGGGCACCTTGGGCTTCTCTGGAACCGCATCACCTGTCCAGTTGCTTCCCTGCCACTCAGCCCTCCAGCCTCTGTCAGCCTTCCCATGCAGGCAGCTCCAGCGTCCTAGTGCTCAGCCAGTGCTCTGTGCGAGTGCCACCCTGCACGCCCTTCCCATGCAGGCAGCTCCAGCGTCCTAGTGCTCAGCCAGTGCTCTGTGCGAGCGCCACCCTGCA